TAAGTTGTCTCAATAAAAATCATTTTCAGTCTATTTTTTCGAACAGATGCTAAACCATTTGCACATCCATGCACAATACAAAATTTCACCATTTTTAATGTTTCTTTTTTGTCAAAAATTTAAAAATTATGGAGCACGATAATTTTCTCACCAATGCCGCGAAGAAAATTTGTACATTATTCAACTAATTTCATCTCCTTGTACTCATAAACAGCTAACTTCGCAGATATTACTTGCCGACAGCAGTTCAGGAACAGGTGGGCTATGCTTTAGTACGTGGCGATCGTTTTCCTTCTCTAACCTCCATGGACAAGACTGTCTGTTTTTATAATTTCTGTTCATCTGTTTTCATAAGCTTGCAACTTGTTTATCTGTGGACTTTGAATACATAAGTATTAAGTATTAAACCAAAGGAGGCGGCATCGCAAGGCATACCCCTCTGTAAAAGGTACGAGAGTCCGACTCATAGCCGTTATATAAAACTAGTTGCTCCGCTTTGTGCGCCATTCCGCAAGATGCGTAGTATCCTCTTAGTAAGCTGTATCAGCAAGTGACTTTGCCACCGTGCCAGTCAATTGAGCTCCGACAAAAATACCGAATTACAGTGTATTTTCATTCAAAAAACAATAAAAACCGTCTAATCTACAAAAGGATAACGTGACCTTTCGTTTATGAATATTTTTAACATAATATTATCGTAAAAACCCGTACTTTCTGAATATTTTCGTAAAATATCAAGTGTTGCCATCATAGCTCAAGAGAAAAATAAGCTATTTTTAAATAAATATAATTTACTATACTGAACTTAATTAACTTTACAAAATTAGTATTATTCATTCCATCTTAATCCTCAGGTGTGACAACGTATCTGCATTTTTATTCTTAATCCAAGACAAATTTAGATGTTTATAGGCCACAGGATCCACTTACCATCAGGTGGACTGTGTGCTCGTTTACCACCCTTATTCTTTACAAAAAATATAAACGTAAATTTATTTTCTATTTACTAAGTCAGTTTGTGATTAATAATAATCATTACATAAATATTATAGTGGATTTTGTCAAATGATTTGAATATTCAGCTTGATCACAACACAATTTTAAATATTATATAATTTAATGTAATCCATAACCAGTATTTATCAAAATATTATACAAAATAAAAACCAAATAAGTCGAATCGATACTTGCTAATTCGTAGCAAATGTATGCAATTTTTATAAAATATACTGGTATCACTGCGTCCGAAAGTACTGCAGTATAGTGATGTACTACACAACCTTGGATTTCCAAGAGATCCTCTAAGGTGGCAGACTTGGATTGGAGCTTGTAGAAAACATGGATTTTGGATACCTAAACGGACTAGAACCATTTGCTAGGAACATTTTGATAAAAAGCTATCAATAAAAGGTTTGCCAATACTGTTGTACCAACCTTGAAATTGTGAGAGTAAGGTCTAGCTGTAATTATATCAAATGATTAACTATTTTAACATTACCCTTGACATCAAAATTATTCTTCTTAAAAATATTTTACAATTTCGATAAGTTTACAATAATGATTTACGCGAACTGTGTAGTACATTATGAATAGTGTTAGAATTACACATAATTAACCTAATTTTACGGATTTTATGGCATTTACAGCACGAACTTTGCTGTCGGGTCTTTGACAAAATGCGGTACGTGCTGAGGCGGCGTATCACAAAACGAAAATACTGTACACCACGGACAGTTAAACTAAAAAGATGCATCGAAATAAAAAGCAATAGCAGAAAAACGTTTCAATCGCGGTAACAGTATTTAAATAAAAAAGTTACAAGTTTGCACGAAATACTAGATGTCAACGATGAAAGAGGTTTCATTGCTTAAAGTTCAACAAACAACTTCTTTAGGCCCACTTTTATTATATATTTATAGCAGTCTCGGGCTTACACATTCATACTCTTTCACACATTGACCCATTCTTTCTGCAAGGATGACACCGACTCCCTGGCATGCTCGCTCGGTCTCGTCTACACCGGACCAGTGCGCAGTGTATATGCCATGTATAGTGACATCCTTTCCCTTCCGCTTCGTCTCATTTACACATAACACATCTATTCCTCTATCATACATCATATCGCATACTTCATCCATCTTATCATTCATTGCTCCAGATATATTCAGCGTAGCTATACGGGCCTCCGCAATCCTCTTTTCGCCCCTCCGGGAGACAGAATGTGACGGGTGGCGAACCTCGTTGCCGGTTTTCCTCCCGGAGATTCTTCTTCGCTTCCATCTGGTTTGATCTTATTTATTTATGTATTTTTTGTATTTATTTTATTTTATTGATATATATGTATATTTATCTTTTCATTTTAACTTAAAAAAATTTTTTATCGAACACAACCAAATGAGAAAATTATATACATACCCCAATAATCATAATAATAACAATAATAATTATTATTATATATTAATAATTATTATTATTGCACAGGCACAACCTGGTAGCCAGAATTCTTCACCAGGAGCTCGCTCTGAAATACCGTCTTGTGGATCGGAAATTGCCGTATTACAAGTACTTGCCGGAAACCGTGCTCGGAAATGATCGCGCCAGGCTCTATTGGGACCGGGCCATCATTACAGACAGGACTATTCTTGCGAATAAGCTTGATATTGTGCTGATGGACCGGGCACAGTTAAGGATATTTTTGGTCGACATTACGATTCCATATGACGAGAACCTCGTGAAAGCCGAAACAGATAAGCAAACAAAATATCTGGACCTGGCTCACGAGGTGACCGACATGTGGGGTGGTCTGCCGACCGAAGTTATTCTTGTAGTCGTCACTGCAAATGGGCTAATCCCAGTCAGCCTCTCGGGTCATCTGAGGCGGCTGGGACTACGTGATGGACCGCTCCAGGCTCAAATGCAGAAGGCGGTGCTCCTCGATACCGCCCGCATCGTCCGCCGGTTTCTTTCCTTTTCCCCCTAACCCTCGGCCGTTTGGTCTCCCCTGCCGAGGGCCTCCATCTGGTTGGGCTTTCATTTATATAGGTATTATGTGATTCTTCGCACAGTCTGTTCTTTCAGCTTTGTCGCTCTTTTAGCACCACCCGGGGGAAACGTGTAGGGTGGGCCTAGGATTAGGTGGTCGAAGCCTACGGACGCGAGTGACTTATCCCCCAATGTATGTATAATTATGTACCTAAATAAAAATTGTTAATTACCAAAAATAGATATATTTTGATAGAAAAAACGTATTTTAACAAAGAACAAACATTAATGAATATTAAAATACCAATAATAACGAAAGAAATTATAATTTGGTGTAGGGGGCTAACTATAAGGCAGATTCTTAATTAATTTTTTTATAATTAAATTAGTGACGAACAAACAATTATTGATTGATAACAATCAGGAAAAAACCACGAACTAACTATATATGATAATGAAATTTGAAATATTAAAAAAAATTCGGGGGCTAACTTCAGTGAGCCCAAATTTTCTTTTCGGGATTGGTGAGAAAATAATTGTGCTCTGTATTTTTTTTTAATTTTTGATAAAAAGAAACATTAAAAAATGGTTAAGTATTGTATTGCGCGTGGATGTGCAAGTGTTTTAGCATCTGATGGGAAAAATAGACTGAAAATTATTTTATTGAGGTAACTTAGTGATCGCAGCGCCTCACTTATTTTGTCCATATTTCTGGGACACTATTTTGTATATTCTACAGCGATCGTTTAGCTTCTCTCTACCCTCCATGGTCTTGTCAGTAATTTTATAATACGCTCCGAAAGGAGTAATAGAATAGTGAGTAATAGTGTTCTGTGATAATATGTATGCTATTGCTATAACACTATAACTACACTCCATGTAGAAGTAAGGAGCACCAGCTCCCATAGTAGAATAGTTGATAAAGTGGCCATCTCGTAAACAGAGAAACCTATAGACTAATGATTAGCGTGGCCTCGAGTGAGAAAGGACGATAACGTAGTTTTAGGTTAAACAATAGTTTTTATGACTTTTATACATATTTAGATAAAAATTTTAATTGTTCTAAGAACTGAACTGAACAAGATTCACCAATCTTAAGCTCACAAAATACTTTTTTCTCACTTAAGCTAACTTGTAAACTTCTTAGATTGCTACGAACTGTCAAAGTTGGTTAGCAAAGTGCAGTTTGCTAAACAAAAAAAACCGGCACGGAGAAAGGGACAAATAATCACACCGCTCTGTCTCATTTCTATGCAAGACGTACGCAAAAATCTATCTTTTGCGCGTGAATGCGAAAGAAGGCGTCAATTTGTCTATTGGTTTCTCTGTCTACGGGCCATCTGTAAGCAGTAAATAACAGTTCAAAAACTGTTAAAACACTCTCCACAACAGCGCTGGAGTAGCTACTGGGATAAAATGAACTTAGTAGTTGTCGACGGTTTGAAGTGTGTTATTTAGTAAATATAACTTCAAAAAAGTCGTCTATCCCACTATTATTTTTCGGCACGTTCTTTAAAATTTAGCCCGAAGCTGTATAGTGGCGCCACCCTTATTTAACTGTTTTATATGGACACTTTTTAATTTTTAATACACAGTCTGCACTCCACAGATTACTGACTATGTACTAGAGTGCACTCCTTGCTTCTACACTCCATAACTGTAATAAATTATCTGTTGTGTGTTAAACGCCCAACTCTATTATTTATTGATATACAAACTTCAAGATAGGAAGGGAAGGCTGTAGCTTGTACGCATAGATTATTATTATATATGACTGTACGGGAAATTAACCGTTTTTGCCATTTATACTCTTGAAGCGACGCGTATTAAACTCCTGTGGTAGCCGGTTTCCTTTGTCATTAAAATAAATTTATGGAGTCAATTTTTATTTACCACGTAAACAACTGGGATTAGCGAGAGTTCTAACCCGCGAGTTTTGCGGTATCCGGCGGAAACAAATACTGATATTTCGTTCGTCAACTCTGAAATGATATAGTATTAATATGAACGACGGAAAAATGAATTCAAACAGTTTAGAAGCTGAGTATATGGATATTACAAACAAGAATGCGTGGCCAATCGTCTACCAGGTACGTTTGCGTAGGTGTGACGCGGTATAATGGTTTACGTTATATCCAACGTATACCTATGCCACGCACTAGTAAACGCCAGTATTCTAGTACTACTAACAGCATCATATCTAACAGAATTGCATTGATTTCATTCACCTGGCGTGCTGGACTCACAGTCATCTTTGCTTGGTCTGGTTTCTTAAGCAGTTCCTTATCTTAATAAAATATCTCCCCGGTTTGAAAAACAAGCAAAATAATTATTATTTCTAAAATTAATAAACTTATTTTTTGATTTATTTACTATTGGGATGTAAGTGGCAAGTCATTTAAGTTATTGTTTATTTCAGAAAATTGGCCGTGAATGTCAGTCCTATCCATACACATGCTTAGAGGCAAAAAAACCACAAAATAAGCAATTCAACCGCTACCGGGATGTTAACCCCTATGATCACAGCAGAGTAATTCTGAAGCGTTGTGAGAGAGATTATATTAATGCTAATCTTGTGAAGGTAAGATATTTAAATAAATTCCTTTTGTCACAACATTTTGTTTGCCTTTAAATTCATCAAAACCTTTTGTATTTATTTTTATGATTTGACATAGAACAATAAAATCTATATAGAACCTTATCACATTAATGACTAGCATAATATGTGTAAAAAACAATGTTTTTTGTGGAGATCTTAGAATGACAGCCATTATTACTTAGTGGAAGCTAGTTAGGAACACGGTTTTCTGTGGTAACAAACCAAGTGAATAGGAGTTTTTATGTTAAAAAAATGTTGAGTGTCCCTTCTTCATATATCTCATGAAGAAAGGACACTAATTTTCACTGAAATGCATATTTTTGTGTTACACAGTTTTAGCACTGTAAGGAAATAACTAATTACTTAGGAAAACTACCTTCAATTGTTATTTTCATGTTGTCACTATAAAATTTTCATTAAATATTGCACAAGGTTTATATTTTTATGGATCTTTGCATATAAAGTTGTTAACAGTTTAACCAAAATAAAATATGGATTTCAGACAATGCTAAAGTTATGATATTATATTATGCATATGATATTATTATATTCTATATACATAATTCTACATACCCAAAGTTATATATTTATAAATTTATTTTCAATATTAATGGTAGATTAACTTAGAGGTGTAAGTTTCATTGATCAAGTGAACATATATTTATATCAATCAACATTTTTTGTTAAATTTAAGTTTAACATATCTCCTTTTTCTCATTGATCTTATTGATGACGCATACAGTTGAGTAGTTCATACTAAGTTGGCTGAAGTACATCTTAACATGGACACATCTTCAGACACAATAAAACAAGAAATTACTGCATAGTGTGCACAGCGAATAACAATATTATATACAATTTAATTCCAACTCCAATAACTTGTTACTTTAACAGATAAAACTAAATTACTGAAAATGCTGAAGAAGTACAATAAAAAGTAATCTCAGAAAGAATTGTAGCTTAGGGGCTTCCAAAGTTCAAAACTTTCTCAGTCCACAAGCCAAGCATGTTCTATCAACCATGGCGCCAATAAAATTATTAATTGTAAGTTTAAGTACATTCTAATTTACAAAGCGTTCGGAGGTAAGGTCAAATGTTTGTCTGACAAAAAAATGTTTTGTATATACCAGTGAAGTTTGCAAACATCTATTAGAGAGATGATGGAGACTCTTCTATACTGTAAAACTGTAAAATGCTGTACATTCTCCATAATTTTGATTAACCCGTAAGGTCAGACAGCTCGCGACATGTTATACTCCCGTTCCAACGGAACCGTAATTGCCGGAAAATTTGCAAATTAGCAAATTTTGCTATATTTTCACTTTGAGACAATATTTATGGATAAAACTTACAGGAATTCTTGTTGAATGTATAAACTATCGAATAAAATTATTTTTGGTTGCTAGAAATTATAATAAAATTCATAAATTACCCTTTATAGCATAGTAGTAGTATATACTTCACTTTTAGTGCCAAAATTACTACTAATTTGAATTCTACACTTTTGTTTTTGGAGAAATTTATATGAAAATGTTTGGAAATATGTATATTTTTATGTTTTATGTGTTTCTATTCGTTACTCATACCAAAATATTAAAATATAAAAAAATAAAAAAAAATAATAATATTTATCTGTATGACATTTCGAACAATATTTCAAAAATATTTTTGTGTGAATTTGAAATAAATACAACGTCAAGTTATTTGAAATATGTAAGAAAACTATTTTTACTTACATTTTACACTAAAAATAAATTAGAATTGGAAAAATAACACATTTATGACCCAACCGCCAAAATGGGCCTTCCATATTTCGAAGTACTTTTGGCAATTTACTTTTCACTTTTTATACCACAAATTATATATCTACGTGTTTACTATATTTATATTACAAGGAATATAAAAAAGTATAATACTTTCGTTTTTAGTCCAGACACAAATATAAAATTCTATAAAAAAAACGGAGCACCTTCATCAAAGCGACATGTGGAACGCCGAAAGTTCAGAGTGATTTCTTTTTTTTTTCTAAGAAACATTGCCAGGTTATGGTTTAAAATAAAAGAGCATATCTTTGTCTTTGATGCTATTATCTATTGCATAGAGTCTTTGGTTTTGTTTTAATTAAAAAAAATTCTTTTTCAAAGGGTAGTACTTGTGGTACACATGTGTATCTTGATCGAGCGAGCGTAAGATGTTTATGTCTGGTACACATGTGTAGGCTGCTCGACTCTACAGGTTAAAAAAACAAACTTTGTATTTTAAACAAATTAGATTTTTCACAACTGTTATGTATTGAACTAAATATGAATATAATTTTTTTTCTCCAAGAAGGGTGACAAATAAGCACACAGCCCTTCAGATGGTAAGTGGTGTTATGGCCCATAGAAATCTACATCTAATAAGGAAAATCAAAATGCTGATGTGTTGTCTCCCCTTTGGTTACCAGTAAATCCTCCTCCAGTTCTCTTTATTCACCATACAAGAAACAACTCATGCAGCATGGCTATATCAAATAAAATATGAATATTTACCAAAGCCATCCATCCAAAATTGCTAAACTCTGTGATAATAATGTTTTCTTTTTCACCATAAGATGCCTTTGGTATTTTATTTGATAGAGCCATGCTGCATGAGTTGTTGTATATGGTGAAAAGGAAAACATTATCATTATTATTACGGGCAAATTGGTTGAAATGAGACATACCTTTACATTATATCTTTAGTTGTTAAGGCTATATTGGCCCGAAGCTTAAGGCATAATGCAAGACCTTCACATTTGAAATCACTTAAGTTCATGTTATGAATAGATTTCGTTTATAATTAGATGCATTGAATTGCATTAATACGTATAAAACAAGATAGCCCCCTGTGCAGGGCATGCATGGGCGAGGAAGAAATGGCGGCTCACATGTTGCTGACATGTCCGAAGGTCACTTCATACAGGGCTAAACATCTCGGAACACCGGGATCGCTCCCCGAAGTTTATTGCAACATCAAAGGACCGTTGAACTTCTGTGGGGAGATTTCATGGCTCGAATAATCACATTATTCCTGCACACACGCAAAATAGGCGCTAAGACGTGGAGTTGCAGAAAACAGCCCGTCGTAAACTAAACTAAACTACTTATAAAACATACCATTACAGAGAGAAAGCAAATAAGTATTAAGTTTTGTATTATAGTTTGTATATAGTTTCACTTAGTAGCAAATAGTATTGAACCTATAGTGTTGAAAAAATGTTTAAGAAGATGTGGTCTATTTCTGTTAGGCATTTGAGGGGATCTCCATTTGCTCTATGATAGGTTCGGTCTAGATATTAGGCATGTCTTACAGAAATTCCAGCTTTACCTTCTAGTGTTAACTTAAATAAAATAATTTTAGGGATTTTATTGCATTTCATTTTAATAATTTTTATCATGTAGTGGAACTGTAAGAATATCCACTACCCTATATCGTCCCGTGGGTGTAGTAAGAGGCGACAGAGGGATATTGAAACAGGTGGTAGGCAGCAGCATCTTCCTTATAACAACTCAAAATAATAAAAAAACTATGGTTGACCCTCTCGCGAAGCATGTTAAATAGGGCAAACTCATCAAATCAAATATGAGACAATCTATGGAGGAGGCCTATGTTTAGCGGTGGATTTTTATAGGCTGTAATGGATCAATGAATTACTTATAATAACTAATATACTAATTTGAAAAATACTCAATTCAGATGGATTATGGCAAATTTTAAATGTAGGTTATGCTATTTTCATTCTTAAATTGAAATATTGTCACTGACTTATTAAGTGCAATACATGTAATTTATTATTAGTACCAGGTTTAAACTCAAGTCTCAAGAAGTCCATTCCTTTAAATGTAAAGTAGAAGTTGAAGACTGTGGTGCTGCGGCTAAAGGCCTTCCTTATAACCGAGACTCCCTGTTATAAGTTGTTACAACTTGATTACATTATTAAATATCAGTGAAAACTTAAACTATTCATCTCATTGAAATTTTAATTGTTATGGGAATATTCGAACTCTATAACCTCCACAGTGACTATGCCACATGTATTAGTTATCAGAAAATATCAAAGAAAAAAGTGTGATAGAAAGACTATGAAATTTCAAGGAATACAATAAATATAATTCGACATTACGGCCTTATTCCAAAACGTGGACTAAATACAGTAGTGGGATTAATACTAGGTTTAAAGCATGAACTAAATAAAACAATATTACAAAATGAAAATCATTTCTAATTCAAGTATTAACTGTGGTCCTAAAGTTAAACTATCATGACTAATATCAATTACGTTACTACTTTATTTGATGTTAGCATTACTTTTATTTCGTGTTTTAAAATATTTGAAAATGGATATTAACTTGTCTCAATGAATTTGGAAGATATCCTACCTTCTTGTACACATAAAAAAACCTTAAGTACTTTTTTATTTTCTGAATACTTACTGAGTTTTTCTTCGACTTATTCTCCATTATATGTGCTGATTGAGCAATAAGTATATGTGATATTTGTCATAATAATAAGAACATTCGCTTTAGTCAAATTAAGATGATACAAAGTGTAACTCCCTACTAATAAACTAAATTCCGATGATTCACTAACTTTTTCATTAGAACTTCAATTTTCACCCCTTTTTGTTCTATTTTATATAGGTAGCTCACTATTTAACCACACACACAACTCCTTAACAAAACCTCACTATCTACAATAGGCAATAGCTATTAGCTATACCAATAAGCTATAACTCATTGTTCTTAGTTAAAATAACAAAAGCATTGATTTATTTTATGAACCACATAACATAAACATTTTTGATAGTCTCAAATTACCGCTCATAGCAACTATGTAATTCACTCTTTTTCAAGCTAGAGTTCTTAAAATTAAAACAAGTTGATTATAAAAAGTGCGCTTTATATATATATATATATATATATATATATATATATATATATATATATATATATATATATATA